CCGGGGAGCCGCTGTCAGGCGCCGAGGTGCGGGACATCTGCCGCGGCCTGCGCGACAACGCGGTGCGCCTGCTGTCGCTGCGCGGCTGTCGCCTGTGCGACCGCGACTTCGGCCGTATCTGCCGGGCCCTAGCTGGAGCCACGTCCCTGGCGCAGCTCAACCTTAACCTGGGCGTCGTGTCCAGCCCCAGCCGCATCAAGCAGCTGGCGGAAGCGCTTCGGACCAACCGCTCCATCCAGTCCCTCTTGTGAGTGTGTCCCCTCGCAAAGGGGTCCCGGCCACTGCACCCCCTACCACCTCCTGTATCTCCATATTACCTCCCAGACCCTGTTTTCCCACCGTCCCGCCTTTGCAACCTCTAATGCTCACCTCATCTTTCTTCTGGGTCCACCACACCCTCCCAGAAACGTGGATCGTTTCTAGACTTTGCTCTACATTCAGACCCGCAGGAGAGCTGGGATGCCTAGCCCTTCCTGGTAGGGAATGTCGTTCCTCCCCACCCCACCCCAGTTACTTCATAGTGAAGTCCCTCATGTCTGAGGAAGGGTCACCTCCCATGGAGACTACAGCCCAGCCTTTCCAGCCCTACCCACCGAAAGGTCTCAGAGGCCTGTGAGCCGAGTATGCTGGCTCCCCAGTCCGCTATCCACACACCCCTCCCTGTGCAATGTTCTCATTACCAGTTCCTACCCCAGAAAAGAAACCAAATTCCCTTTCCATCATACTGCTTCAAATCTAGAATTTGCATTTTTCCTTCCCACTTTTGTCTCGGGGAGGGGCACTTTTCCCGAACAGGTAAGACTGGTAATTAATCTCACGTCAACCTTTAGCCTGCACGGGAGCCCACTGACAGATGCCGGGCTGGCTTTGCTGAACCCGGCCCTGGCTCTCCACCCTGCTCTTGTGGCTCTTGACCTGGGGGACTGCATGCTGGGTGATGAAGCCATCAACCTCATCTGTGGCCTCCTCCCTCCAGACGGGGCCAAGTCTGGTGAGCAGGACCCTACTGAGTGCATGAGCTAGTGTGACAGATGAAGGCTGAATGAAGAGAAGGGGGTGTGGCCCAGTGCTGAGAGCTGGGTAGGGGGCGTGCAGTAGGAATGTCTTTTTACCCTTCTCAGGGAGGGAGAAGCTTAGGGACCCAGCTTAGGAGAGGCACTGTGGCCCAGACAGGGGAGGAGTGAGTAGGTCCCTAATTGCTTCAGACTGCTGTGGTTGGGGACAAGGTGGCTCCTAGCCATTATGCTAACCCCATAGACAGGGTAGAGAAGGGCCTGACCCTACTCATCCTGGATTCTTACTGATGCTGCTGCCTAGGTTTGAAGGAGCTAACACTGAGTGCCAACCCTGGCATCACCCCTAAGGGCTGGAGCCGCCTCGCCATTGCTGTGGCCCACAGTTCCCAAGTCCGAGTCCTCAACCTGGACTACAACCCCCTAGGTGAGCTTAAAATGATTCCCCTTTTCACTGCTGCTGTCCTATCCAAAAACCTCAGCCCACCAGTTGCCATAGTAACCCCCACTCAAGGGCGGGAAGACAAATGAGAACTCCCAGGGGTCTCGTAAGGGGCCAGCCGTCATGGAGTACCAGATGACCGACAGGTAGGTAGGTTAAAGCCCCAGACAGCACCCATGGATCTGACTTGCTTATCTCCCTCCAGATGCTCCCTTCCTGGCCACTCACCTTCATCTCCTGGCCAGGACCGACGATTAACAAACCTCTGTTATCCCAGACGGCTGTGAATTTGTGCTGTCTTTTCAGGTGACCATGTGGCAGGGATGCTGGCTGTAGCTGTGGCCTAAAGCCGTACCCTAGAAGTCCTAGACTTGGAGGGCACAGGGCTCACAAACCAGTCAGCTCAGGTGAGAGGCCGTCATGTTTTAGAGACAGGCTAGAGAAAAGGATGAAATGATCTTTGTGTCTGGGGACAGACCCAAGGACTGCCTAAATTATGTTCATTGTTTTAATTTTATAATTAATGTATTTTATGTAAATCAATGTTTTTCCTGTATGTCCTTGGTGCCCATGGAGGCCACAAGGTGGTATCAGATCCCTGCAACTGGAGTTACAGATGGTGAACAGTCATGTGGGTGCTGGAATTGAACCCTGGTCCTTAGGAAGAGCAGACATTGCTCTTAGCCACTGAGCCACCTCTCATGTGTTTATCTTCCTGTGCTCTTCTCTCCTTTCCCAAGACCCTGCTGGACATGGTAGAAAATTACCCAACAGCTTTGCGGAGCCTGGTGTTGGCTGAGAACAGCATTAGCCCAGCGCTGCAGCAGCAAATCTGTGACCTCCTCTCTGAGGGGGAGGAAGAGGAAGAAGTGGCAGGAGGCGCTGTGGACACCCAGGAATGGGGAAGAGGGCGGGAGCCTGCTGCCCACCAGAGGGGTGGCAGTTCCTGGATGTGCTCCAGCGGTAAGAACCTGGAGAGTGGATGAGAGCTTGATCTGGAAGAATTGAAACAAGGGGGCGGTGCTGGGAAAGCAGGCCATGACTCTCATCTATTTGTGAGGCTCACTAGCAATGAATGGTGGCTGAACATCCTTCTGCCCTTCCACAGATCCCAGCTCTCAGATGGTGCTAATGACATCAGGACTAGGGGACAGCCTGTTGGCTGAGACCGAGATGTGACTCTCCACTTGGGCTTCTGTGCATCATAGCATTTGCCTGTGTCCCCACTACCTTCCTCCACATGGCAGGGAAAGGTCCTGGCTGGGGCTCTGGCAGCTCCTGATAGTGGTGGGAGACTCTGGAAGCTGTCACTGGGCAACAGCCTTGGGGGTTGGGGGGACTTGAACCCAAGGTACTGACTTTGAACTTGTTGGCAGCTCTGGCTGCAACCCGCTGGCTCGGAACAGATTTTATAAACTCCACAACCTGACTTGGAGCTGTAGTCACTGGGGGATGACCAATGGGAGGGACTGGCAGTATCACTCATCGGCATTAAGGGTGGTATCACCCTACATCTCAGACTCTAAAAGGTCAGCCTAGATCTAGGACCTAGGGGTCCTGGGAGTTCAGACATCTGAAGATACCGGAGCCGGGCTGAACTTTGTCCTCTTTCTGCTGGGAAGCTTATTAGTTGCTGCTGTTACCTGAGCACCCTGTCCCCAAGCCTTGTGCCAAGGGAAGCCAGGCAGAATGGGTAAAGGGCAGTCTGGCAAAGATTAGGAAAAGCTGAACTAGAAATACTTAAGTGCTGGAGAGGTGTTCAGCAGAGAAAACACAACTCCAGCTCCAGGATGCCAAACCCCTGGCCTCTGTGGACACCGTGCATATACACACATACACACATACTTAAAAATGTTAGCTAGGCATGGTGGTACACACCTTTAATCCCAGCCCTCTGTAGGCAGAGAGAGGCAAGTGAGTTTTAGGCCAGCCTGGTCTACATGAGACGCTTTCTCAAAAATAAAAACAAGATGGGGATTACAATGGGAAGGAGAAAGTCATTAAGGCAAATTAAGCCATACCTGTAAAATAAGTTTTATTTGACTTTTAAAAGTCATTAATGTGAAAATTCCCCAAATCTGGGAGTAACAGTCTAGCGCCAAGGTTAAGAGGGGGCCAGGCCTCACCTGGGGCCTAGCTTGAGGCCCCTGAAGTCCCATCCTCCCTCTGGAGAGGAGGGTGAGAACAGCTAGCTGAGGGGAGCCCTGAGTAAGTCCACCCTTGTCCCTAGGCAGCTGGGCCAGGCCTAAGAGTAGCTGGTGCAGAGGAAGAGAGTAATCACCAAAGCTCTTGGCCATGAAAGAGAATGGTGAACACTGGCATGCTGGGCCTTTCCCCATGATCACACCTGGGTCACTGAACGGAGGACAGAGCCTGGGACTCAAATGACTTATTACCTTTGGAAAAATTAAGTATTCCAAGAGGAAAAGAAAACCAGGAGCCAAGCTGGCCAGTCGGTGCCAATGCAGCTATAAGATTTGGTGTGGATCCCATTTACATAGGAAACAGCCACCCAGGTCTGAGCAAAGAGTTCAGGAGCCATGTGTAGCCCCGAGAGGTGATAGCAGCAAGGCAGGCGGGCTTAGCTGAGTAGGGTGCCCTGTTCCTGCGCCTGCGTTAGGCTGTCCTTGCGGTGCAGGTGGTGTACTCCCATTCTCTTGGGGCTGCGTTGGGGGCGGCTGGAACTGGGGAGTGGCCAGGCCTTGCCATCAATATGGGAAGCACTTGGTCCTTCCTCTGTGCCCTCATTAGCAGGAAGCAGGCTCTGGCGCTCTTCCTCAGGGCTGACAGGCAGGTTCAGCACTTCCTCTTCCTCTTCCCTGGGAAAGCCAGAGTCAGGCTCTGTTGGTAACAGAAGTCCACTCTCATGGTGTGGGGAAGGCGGTGGGGCCTCAGAGTGACTGGGGGAGAAGTGTAGCTGTAGTTCAGTGAGTGCATCTCGTCCAAAGGCTGTGCGCTGGGCCACAGCAGCAGGGGGCGGGGTGCGGTCCACAAACGCACGCTGCCAGCTGGCCAGCAGGTCCTCCTCAGAGCTGGCAGAGCTGGCTGGGGCACTGAGTGCTGAGGGGGCTGGACTAGGCTGGTGATGGGGTGAGCCTTGGGCTGAGGCAGGGTTGCTAGGCACTGGGCTGCGGTGGACCCGCTCACTCCCCTCCTCCACCAGGCTCAGGGAGATGGCCTGGCGAGTGGCATAAGTACAGTTGGGCAGGGGGCTGTTTCGAGGAATTCGAATCTTATCCTCAGAAAACTCTATTACCTTCCGGCCAGGATACAATGGGTGTGGTGGAGATGGGGTAGGGTAGGGACTCAACTTCTCAAAGGCTGGCAGGGGCAGCTCCTCCTCTGGGGAGCCTCCTGCAGTACTCACAGAGCAGCAGTCCCCATTGCGTTGTGGAGAGGGACTGCCAGGGGCTGCAGGGCTGGCTGAGTCACCTGGAGCATCCCCACTCATGTCCACATGCACGAATACATCCTCAGCCAGGGGGCGGCCAGAACTGGCTGACTGGGCTGAATTGAGCAGGAGAGACTCGGGTTTCTCCAACACCCGGGCGATGACTGAGGTGGGCACCACGGCCCCTGCGGCCAGGCTGGAAGGAGGGCTGGGGCTGGCAGCCTCTTGACCATCACGCAGATGTCTCCTAACCATGTCCTGTAGCTCACAGGGCAGCTAGAATAAGAGAAGGGAGAGAGATGGGTGAGTCCTGCTGAGGACAATAGCCACCACTGTGTCCCATACACTCAGCTTAAAGCTTCTACACAACCTGGTATTGAACATGAAGATAGGCAGCTCTACTGCTAAGACCTGTGTGTACTGAAACACCTATCTCCTCTGTCTCAGGCGGCCTGCTCCAGAACCAGACTTGGGAGAGCTATAGTCACTACAGACCTAAAATACCTCCAGTTCTGCAAGTCAGCTCAGCCTTAGGTTGGAGGCAGAGGCTCTGACCCTAAGAGGGATGGGATCAGACGGCCTTTCTTAGTGTCATGGCTAATAGCTCTGGCCACCCCTACTGCCTCCACAGGCTCCTCAGACTGAAGAGTACCTTAACAGAAATACTAACAGAGCCAGCTCCAACACTAGTAACAGGCCCTCAGCGGCACCCAGAAACTCAACAGTTAAACAGCTCCAAGTACAACCCAGGGGCAAAGGAAGGAAAAGTATAAAGGGAAGTCAGAGGAAGCGGGAGGCAGAGAGGCAGAAGCTGGGCAGTTCTCAATGGCGGGGATGGTGCAGGGCAGGTGTGTCACTCACATCAGCAAACTTGTGCTTCCGGAAGTGGGATTTGTTGCACTTGAGCAGCTGCACAGCCAAGTTGCAGTCCAGCCGGTAGCGCTCCTGGAGACAGAGACCTTCTTAGAGCCCAGCACCCCCAAGGGTCTAAGAGGTAGCCAAGCTGAGGACAGCACATACATTGAGCTCCTCCAGCTTGTTGATGGTGTTCCTGGCATCCAGCAGCTTGTTTGTCAGCTCCACAATCTCCCAGTCCAGGGTCTTTCTGTCCATCTCAGCCTTCTTGATCTGAAGCACAGACTGGTGGTAAAGCCAGCCCAGAACCCAGCTAGCCCTCCCCCTCCACCACCTCCAGCCCAGAGACATAAGGCCACAGGTGCTAGGGCAGCCAAGGCAGACAGAGCAGACAAATGACAACAGACAGAAGGAGATTCAGCATTTCTCCTGCTCTGCGGGCTGCTCATGAGAGGGGGCTTTCTGAGAAGGACCTAGCGCCATGGGAACCCAGGACAGAGGCAGTCTAAGAGACTGCCCATCCTTGGAGGGAGCTTAAGGGACTCTAGGAACCAGCAAGGCACTAACACCTCAGAGGCAGTAGGTGCAGCCAGGGTCTAAGGCCTGTGTGAGCAGTTCTTTCCAGGATCAGCTAAGAGTGGGGCACTTATGAGATTAGGTGGATGGGCACAGAGGGAGCTGCAGGCTCAAAAGTAGACTTCTGGTCTTCAGCTCTTAATGTGGGCCTATAGCCTGGGCTTGCTGCCACTGCAGCTGGGCAGCTGAGAAGGCTCTGGGGGCTGCTATCCACCAGTGCATCTCCAAGAGCCATGAGCAGAACCCAGTGCTAGCTCTCTCCCAGGGTGGAGGCACTGACAGGGAAGAGTGGATGTACTCAAGAGGCAGAGGGAAACAGCCAGGGTCCCACGATCCCTGATATGGACCAAGGAGGCCAGGACCAGGAGGGAAAAAAACACACAAACTCAGACGCAACTGCAAAAATCCAGCTGTGGCTAAGAGAGGCCTGAGAGGAGAGTGCAGCAGCAGCGGTGGCAGCATGAGGGAGGGAAGACGGAGAGAAGAGAAACAGTGTGAGCATTAAGACAGTCCCGACTGGCACAGCACACTGCAGTCCCCTCCCCAGCACTGCCCCGCCCTACCCCCCCCAAGCCCCAGGGTGAATGGCATCCCCCTGGCTATGTTGTAGCACAGTGCCAACCAAACTGCTCTTCCCAGCACAGTACCAGTGTGTGCAACTTGTCCTCCAGCTCCTGGTTGGTCCGCTGGGAAGCTGTGTAGCTGTTCTGCAGCCTACAGAAGAACACAAGGCAGAGAGTCCTGGTCAAGATCCTGTTCTTTAGGCCCTACCGACCCTCTACATGTGAGTCTGGGAAAGTTCCTGGCTTTCTAAATAAAATCAGGTGGGAGCCGGGCGTTGGTGACACACGCCTTTAATCCCAGCACTCAGGAGGCAAAGGCAGGTGGATCTCTGTGAGTTCGAGGCCAGCCTGGTCTACAGAGCAAGTGCCAAGATAGGCTCCAAAGCAAAAAAATTCAGGTGGGATCTGAGACTCTTCCAGATAACCTCCCATTAATGGGGAGATAACTGGGCCCTTATTCCACACCTGCGGAATTTGTCTTTAAACTTGTCCAGTTCTTCACGACTCTGGCCTAACTCCAGTTCCAGGCAGTCTTGCCCTATTTCCAGCTCCCGCTCCAAGGCCTCAGTGCGTCTGGTGGCAGAGGCCAGGCGTCGGCGAAGTTCTTCGTTCTCCTGCTGCAAAAGTCTGGGGGAGGGGGACAGGGAGCCATCAGAGACAACTAACCCTGGAGCAGCAGACCAGACTGGGAAAGGACAGGGCAGGCATGTGGGTCCCTTTAGCTTCAGTCTAGCTGGGGAGACACTTTACATGCAGGAGCTCTGGCTTCAAGAAAGGCCTGGGTTGGAGGTAGGATGGGGTGGAAAACACTCCACTTTGCCCCACCCAATACAGGAGAATACTAGGTCAGAACAAAAAGGTCATAGCTCCCTACCTGCCTCTGGTTACCACCCAAGCCAGCAGGCCACCAAGCCTTACAGCTCCAGTTTCCCCATTTAACAATCAGGCTTCTCCATTATTAATATCTTGGGAATCCAGGCCAGCATTGCTGTTCTCCAGGGGGCCTCAAATGCTGACAGAAAGGCTTTGAGAAGCAGCTGGCAC